TGCCCAAGTGTGCCACTCCCTAGCTCCATTTAACTAAACTTTAACCACCACTGCATTCAGATGCTCACTGTTTAATTTGCTGTGAGATAAGACTGTAAGTCTTTCTTTTTTATCTGTGCAAGGTGATTTTTCTGCCAATTCCATTGCAATTAATTGTGGAAAGAAAAAAAAATCTGAAGTATATTGAATGAAAAGAAACAATCTTGATAACATGGGGGAATGGAAGCAGTCCAATGCAAATATTGGACGTTTTTCTACCTTTGATTGCTTTTGTCTTGAATGACTAGTGGAAGTGCATAAGTTACTTTAGTTGAATAATAAGATAAATCAAAACTCAAATACTCTGTGTTTTTTTTTAGAATGTTTCGGCAGTATCTGCTGTGAGATCAGGTACACTGAAGTTGTCCTCACAGTGATTTTGCAGGGGGACACATCTGTAACTACTAAATCAGAAAAGTCAACAGGAAAGATGCCTTTAAATCTGTATGAGTTTTTAAGGAATTCAGATTGAGGTTGACATGCATAATCCTCGCCACTTCTGTGTTGGCCTATTAACTTTTCAAGGGGTGATAAGTCTCTTAAATTAGTAGATAGGATTTGCTGAGTCTTCAGGGTTTTGAAGGGAATCTAAAATGATTCAGTGAAACATAATGTTTTTTTCCCTTGTATTGCTTTCTTTAGAGTTCATTTTCAGACCTCTTGTTTCTGACACGTAAGCCCATTTAGTTCAACACCAACAGAATGTAAAGGTGTATAAAAGACTATTGAGAATATGCACTGTGGTGTTTAAAAGAGTTCAATACCAAATAAAATGAATTACAAGAGACTCTTGAATGCACCCTCTTTATATTTTGAAGACTTCTGAAACCTATAATTTATGTATATGCAATATACAGTATGTACTGTTAGTGACTGTAGTTAACACTACTGTTGTTAAAAGAAGCTATTACATATAATCTGTCTGTGTTCCAATGCATTTGTTTTTCTTTGCAGTGATCTGGGGTTTGATCCATGGACTAGATAGTATAATTAATTAATTTATTATGTGCTTTTAATTTTCATTTTAGAGTATGGCCATATGTTTTGCATATAAAAGGGGGAATGTACTTCAAATACAACACTGAACTAACAGCATGCATGTGGGTGGTGTGTATAGGCCGCTACTGTATGTACAAGCAGCTCCACTACACAGCAGATCGGGAAGGATAGTGAGAAGAGTAAGCAGTCCAGATTCAACCAATCCCCAGTGTAATTTAATCAGGACACTGGGGTTAACATCATTCCTGCCCCTTCTACCAGCTAGCTAATCGACAAAGTTCTGGTCCCACAAGATGTGACCTCCAACCTGATGAGTTTCTAGGCTCCTGTATAGATATCACGCATGCATTACAGATAGCTGGACCGGTATAGTAAAAGGAAGGGGCAGATTTAATTTCTCCCAATCTTTGGATTCTTGACTTTTGAGTATTCCTCGTCCTTCAGCGCTCATTTTTCGGAACTCTCAAATTATCATAAAAATGAACTATAAAACCCTTTTAGAGTTACGTTTAATCCCATCTTAACACCTATTAACTGTGTTTTAAGTTATGATGTGGTTAGGCATCTTTTTGTTAAATAACGTTTTGGTGATCAACTCTTTTTGCAACTTTGCTTCTTTCCACATGCTGCAGCATAACCGCCACAAAATTACCCTAGCATGATATCGGTTGATTCAGTCAAATTCAGAAATCATCAAATCTTCTTTGCTTTTGATTAAATTGTAATTTATGAAAATATAAAGTCTTATTTAACAGTTGTTAAATCAAATGATCATGTTTCCTGAAGTTTTAGTCATGCGCTTTTAGGGTTTAGCAAGTGAACAATTTTACATTTTAAGCACTTATATATTGGATACTTAATTACTTTCAATAAAAATTTTAGAGAACATATTTAGGCCAAAGGAAAAATGATTCCTACAGTAAGCACAAGGCAAAGAGATGATATGCCTGCATGGGAAAACTAATGGAAGCTAGTCTTAGTTTGCTATGTAGTTTGTCTTTCATAGGGTGAAAGGCCAGACTGTGAAGAGACTCTTCTCCCACTCATTCCTTTGATGCAAAGGGGGCATTTGGTTTGGCTGGGGGAGTCCAGAAAGGAGGTATCTCTTGCTGCTCATGTGCGGTTTGAGAGGTGAGGGTGGATACTGTCCAGGCCAGTTGTCTCCTTGACTCCCTCTCAGAGAGGAAGGTGTGCTTGTTTCAGGGCCAGGAAAGGCCTTCCTTAAAGCCATAATCAATTAGGGAGTCCTTCTGTGCCACCTGACAACAATTAACACCTGACCTTTTTAAAGTCAAATAGAACTTTGTGATTGAAAAGGTTTCTAGACTTTGACAAAGCCTTTACATGTTTGTTTAATATGTTGCTCTGGATATTTTCACTTGATCCGTGACAGTTGTAAATGTTGGATTTGGGTTTCCTGCAGACAATTGTACAACATATTTTTTTTAATATGGACCAAAGATTTAATATTCTATTCATGTTGGCCATTTCATCTCACTGAGCTGGACAAGCCAAACTGTTGAAACAGTAAGGAACTTGATGTAGAATCTTGTCTCTTTCTGTTGAAATAAAAGCGGTGAAATCACAACCACACCTTGAAGGGCAGGGTCTGATAAAAATTGTCTTTGACTAAAAAAAGAAAAACGTTGTGACAGTGGCAACGTCTGAAAAAATTGCCACAGATGGTTCAAAAGTGAATTCTAGTAGTTATCTTGACCTTGCATAAATACGCCTGACCAAAGACAATTTATTTCTGTTGTTCCAAGTGAAAGAGCACTCATATTCTCTTGATGTATCTCTTGAAGTCATCTGCATCTCATTACTCTGATCTAAAAATCTAATTTTCCTTTGAATCATACAGGTTATTTTTATCAAGTATGATGTCTAGGAGGCATCACTGTATATCCATCAAAACTGTGTACTGTTCATTTCTTGCAGTGTCGTAGGCCAGTATACCTTACTATGCCGATTAAGAATGAAGTTGGTGTTCCTGGAATCTCACTACAGTTGGCTCTGGCCTTGAAAAATCATGCCAGTATCAACATTAGGGAAATTCCACTCTAAAATCCAAAGTAAGCTGCCGTTTGCATAAATCCAGCCAATCAATGTGTGTTGTGTCGGTAACTTTCTTCAGTGTAACCAAAAACAAATAAAAAGCTGAAACTTGTACTTAAGGTAAAGGTAAGAGGAGGGATTGCATTACATAAATGCTCCAGTGAAGGGTCTTGGCGGACTTTCAGCACTTGTTTCCAGACCTTTTCCACAAAAGTGGCGTCCTGCCAGCCTTCAAGGCCAATCTCTAGGTGTGTTTTGCAAAATTCATGTTTGTCACTTCTGACAGAGCTGGTGTAGCTGAGCTCATGGGGAGTGGGGTAGTTGAACGTGTTCTGTTTGTGTATTAAGGGTCAAAGTGTAAGTGAATTCCTATGAATCTGCTCAGTCTTCAGGAGTCCCTGTGGATGCAAACTTTGACTTTTGTTAAAGGGAAATACTATGAAGGTGGAGGGACATACATTTCCCTACTTGTGTGTAGCTGCTTTGTGTGAAGGGCATTACTTTTTATATACTGTAGTACCTCAAGGTTTGTCTACAGTGTTTCTTCCTTCATGACTTACCTTTTCAATACAATATTATAAATAGTAGATTGTATGATATTTATGAATAGAAAAGGCAGTGCTTGAATAAGGAAAAGTATTCCAGTTTTTAGTGAAATTTGGCAGGAGCAAGGTCACGATGATCAGTAAATATGTAGGATATATATAAATAAATATCTAAGTCATTTTAAGTGAGGTTGAGATTTAGTTCGAGTCCAGGCTGAAGTCAAAAACCTGAAAAGATTGCTCACTGTAGACACTTTCCCACTGTTACATCCCCTGGTTAACAAGAAAAATACATCAGAAATAATAGAGATAATGTAACACTGTATATATATATATTACTTTTTTGCACTCCAAAAGTTGTACACATTACAACTCTGTGAGGAAATGAGATTAAAAATCTTTCTTCCATGCATGTGAACCATGCATGTTACTCAACAATATGTCTGAGTAGGTACTCAGAACTCTGGGGAAAATGTCCAGGGTAGTAGGAAAACAGGAGTTTTTAGGACAGAATCAAGCATTTTATTCTTTTGTTGTTTCCCTCCTGCTTTAAATATCAATGTATTGTTCATGAGGTGCAAGACACACTTTCTAAAAGACTGACATAGTGGTGTTACAAAGATTAGACTTTTCAGAAAGAGGCAGTGAATACCCTCACAGTAGGCAAAATCAAGAACCTTGAATTTTGAATACAAAGTAACTCTGATGTTATGTAAGGATTGCAGAGTGTAAATAAGGCAGAGGAATATTTAACTGAACTTTTTAAATGATGGGTTTACTTTTACTGTGCAGTTTATTCAATGCCATGAAAGCTGCATTCATATGTCCTTGAATGTTCTGGCATTGAAAACCTGCATTTTTTCTTTTTCAGTCCATTATGTTCATCACATATTTCTTAGATTGGCTTTTTTCTTCTTTGATTCTTTTTTTTTCATTTTGATTGCAAGCAATCAGCACCATATCTCGTGTAGTATCACTCGCAGCAGTAACAAAGACATCAGAAGTCCATTGTTTCAGAATATGTTTTTCTTCTCTCGCAACGTTTATCCCGTAAAAGTGTTTTTTTTTTCTCCAAAATGTGATATTTAATTCCTTAAAGACATAATAATGTATACTATGCGTTTCGAGAACTTTATTCTATAAATGCTTTGGTGTGCCAGATTTGAGATTATTGCCACTTAGCAAAAAGTGTCTCACTGAAACATTCCAACTGGATCTGTAAAATGTGGCATTCTTTTAACGTCTTGTTGGAAATGAGCACCATAGTACAGCTGGGAAAGTTGGTGCAAGATAACCTTGGGGGCGAAACACGCTGAACAAATTCCGTTCCTTCCTCCTAACGTTCTGTTTTGTGTTTCACAGCTTGTCCGTCAGGTTCCTTCAAGCCGGCCCAGGGAGATGACTCCTGCATGCAGTGTCCTATCAATAGCCGCACCACATCTGAAGGAGCCGTCAGCTGTGTCTGTCGCAGTGGCCACTACCGTACCGAAACGGATCCCTTGGAAATGCCCTGCACAAGTATGCGCACTGCTGGCAATGCTAGTATTAACAGGCCGCTTCTGCTTCTGGTTCTCTGGCCAACGTCAGTGGTGTGTCCCAAGTAATTGGTGGCGGTATTTTAGAAAATAGCTAGTACTGCTGTCTCCAGGAATGACTGACAGAGAGAGGCTGTTCTGGTACCCCCATGGGTCCCCTTAGTGGAATGAAATATTAATGTCTGCAGCCACAGGAACGAAACTCTCATCTCCTGTGGTTTTTAAGTGTGAATTTAAGAAAATCCAGGGCCGCGCCAAGCAAGTATAAAGTCATTTTGGTGCAAGCCTTTTTTTGATTTTTGCAGCATGATTTGTAGTTTGTATCCGAACTCTAGACCTGACACGAATGTAAGTTACATGCATAACAAGCTTTTATATCTGGCAACAAAAAGCAGGCTTAGAAAGAGTGACTTTCTGTAGTGTGTTGAAAAACTTGCTTTGCTCTTTTGATGAACTGAAAGGGAAGAAAACTGTGTGATCATTTGAATTCTTTGACAAAGGAATTTGCATAAAACCCAACCACATAGAGAAAAGGCCGGGGAGCTTCAGTGTGATTCGGACTTCAGTATGACCATTAAGGGCAAAAAGGGAGATTAAACCACTGGATTACAATGGAATAAAAATGACCACTGGAATCATCACACTTTAAAATAGGCAGCTGTGTGTAAATACCCATGTGCAAGATCTAAATGGGTTCATCTTATATGCACCCCTGGGCCTCGTGTGAGCAATCAAATTAAATGACTCATGCAGAAATAAGAAACTAAAAGGAAATAAAAGAACCACAGAATTTGTTTTGTTTCATACAGTTTTTCATGATATCATGAGTCATCAGTTCTATCTACAAGTATTAACCAATTGATGCATGTCATACCTAAATGTCAAATGAGCTAATGCTAATGTGAAAACAGTACATGTACAGTACTGTACATGTTTACAAGCTTAAATACAAAATTTAACTGAATAAAGTGATCCATTGGCTTTGTTTCCTTGCATAGTGCATTAGGGATGAACAGTAGCAGTGGAGTTTTTCTTTATCTGCAAGAAGACAGCTTTGGTCTTTGCTTAAGGTTGTGTTTTTGCTCACTACTGTATGTAGTGTATATATACCTGTCTGAGTCAGTTATGGATATTGTAAAGCCCTAGTATAAAACAAAAAGATACAAACTGGGATGCTCTCCAGCGTACCTTTCAAATATAAAACTATCCGAGTCAGAGAGCTGATCTTGTGATCAATGAATCTGTGGAGCACCCTGTCCGTGCAGCAGTCTCTGGCATTTTTTCGATAAGAATAAACTGTGATTACACAACTAAGTGGGATTATGCTGGAAGAGAAGAAGTAGAGCAGAACAGAGACCCCACATGCTTGGCGTCTGCACCAGATGATTGCATAACAAGGACATTTGAAGAAATTAAATCTACCACGCTTCCACAAAAGGTTCCAGTCAAAGGTTCCAAGTCAGTCTGCAGCAACTGTAAGGAAGCACTGACTAGGGTACCAGATGCTGAAGTCAGACTGAGGAGTTGTGTTCCTCTGACTGTTATGTTGTTATTGTTCCTGTCAGAGACAGGACTGGTCAAACAGTACTTGCAGAGGAAGTTATATATAAAAGCGACAGTGAAAGTGCTTCCAATTCCAAGTTAGTGGTTCAAAGGTAGTGGTCAGGAAACCATATAGATGATTGTACTAACCTGTTATATAAAATGAGCACTGTAACTCAGTCTAATATTTCTGATAATTAAAAATATTCAGGATGATCCTTGAGTTGACTCTTCTGATTCTTAATGATTTAAGATGTTAAATGCTGCAGGATACCAATAACATCATAAAATACAGTATGAATACATTCATTTTTTATAACCCCCAAAGGGCACACATTAAATGGCAGTGTCCCATTCCATTGACAATGCAATGGTCAATCTCGCTGTAATCAATCTGTCCATTTTCTAACCACACAATGAGCCAGAGTTTGTCCTGGAAAGGAAAAGGAGGAAGGCGGGAGACACCCTGGATGAAACACCAGTCGCGGCGCACACAGAGACACAAACAGGATTGTTTGAGGATTTTTCCCAGAAGCCCATTGCCCTACCGTTAACAGCCCAAACACCGGCATTATCACCTTTATGTAGATAATGTAGTATCTGAGGTCCAGAATTGAACCAGCAATGCTTGTTCCACTGTACCTCGCTACACATTGGTGGTGGTGGAGGGGAGTCCTTTGAGTGGAGTGTCCAGAAAAGTGCTATGAAAATTAAAGGAATTATTATTTCTGTTTGTGTTATGCAGCCATTCCTTCGGCGCCGCAGAACGTCATCTCCAGCGTGAACGAGACCTCTCTGATGCTGGAGTGGAGTCCCCCGCGGGAGGCCGGGGGCCGCGAGGACGTGGTCTACAACATCATCTGCAAGAGCTGCGGGGCAGGCCGGGGGGCTTGCACCCGCTGCGGCGACAACGTGCAGTTCGTGCCCCGGCAGCTGGGCCTCACCGAGCCGCGCGTCTACATCAGCGACCTCCTGGCCCACACCCAGTACACTTTCGAGATCCAGGCTGTGAACGGCGTGTCCGACCAGAGCCCGTACTCTCCACAGTTCTCCGCGGTCAACATCACCACCAACCAGGCCGGTAAGTCGCTGGGCGCTCTGAAGATTGTGGGGCAGAGGGGTGTCGTCTCCGCTCTGGTCTTACACAAAAACCCTAGAAATTTCCAAAGATCCCAAACTGCTGCTAAAAGCCCATCTGCAGCAAATTGTTCAAAGATGAAAAGATGGGGGACTGAAAATTAGTGTAGGTATTTTGAAATACAAAATAGATCCCTTTTCATTTCCACAAACTTTATTTTTCCTTTGAAACGTAGGCTAGTTTCCCTCTACTGTATGTCAGTGATCTTGGAGCCTTTATACAGTAACCTCCCAAGTACTACTGGTTTAAATAACGGTATCCTGTTAAAAAAAAATCCTTTGGACATTTTTCATTGCAATGCATTCTTTAAAAAAGCAACTTGATAGAACAAGGTCATACTTTACTATTTCATTTACTATATACATCTACTACTTTACTGTATTAATCCACTGTATACAGTACATTATTTTCTGTGTGTCAGTAAGCACTATGACAAGAAAGAGTATCTGAAACTATGGCATTTCTTGCGTACTTTGTTTCTTGGATTGCAGAATTGAATGCCGTTTTATGGATTGGATTGTTCTTCATTCTTTTTTAGGTTACATTTCCCCGCGCTTACAGGTAAATGTGCGAGGTTGTGGTTATTGGATTGAGCCCTTACCTGAGGGCACTCTTCTACTCTGAGGGGAAAAAAAAAAACATTGATATAGATCGTAATGATCCAGGCTTAATTGAAGTCACTCTCTCTGAAACAGCAGCTCGAGAAAAAAGGGAACATTTTGAGGAAGCTCTCTAAGGCACTTCCTTATATAGTCTTTTCAAATACTATAATGTGTATTAAATGTATTTTCAGTTGACGTCTGTGGAAGGAGAAACAAGAATGGTTAGGGTTTAATGGTTGTGTTTTCACCAATACAGCAAATGGGTTGTGGTTGTATTCACCTCCTGCTCTAATGGAATCCCACAGCAGAAACAGGACTGTGTTGTCCTGTACTGCAAGGCAGGGCCTCATAAACATTCTTTCAGGAGTCTCTCCGTGCAGTTGAGTTCTGAAACGGCTCCTGCCCACATTGACACTTCAGAATGCCCTCTGTGCTGGGCTTATTCAGAGCCACCATGGGGAGGGAAGGCTTAATTAGTGCCCCATTACAGTGTGAGCAATCTTTCTTCTGCTTCCCCACTCCCCACTCTTTCGATGGCTGGGAGCGCTGGTGGATTTGCTAGCATTCTCATTAGCCCTGGCAGCTGTGAAAATCCAATTCACCGCAAATATTTTCTAAAACAGCCTTAAATATGCACACACAGCCACCCATTCTCATATATATATACACACACACAAGTCCAATTGATGAGATACCAGTGACTGATTTAATGAATTGTTCTTGCTGAGGCAACTGTGGTAGCGTATACCTAATTTATCAAGGAAAAGCCTTAGATGCATTCCAATTAGTTTAATTTTAATCAGTGGTTTTCTTTAGGGGTTTTTAACATGTTCCAGTGAATTACAGAAAAAAGAGTTGAAGTTTTTTTAAAACTCTAAATGTTGCAGAAAGAGGAAGGTACTGTTTATAATACAAATTATAGAAAAATTAGAAATGAAGTATAATTTGTCTGTACAGGTATGTCACAGCAATGCAACCTACAATGTTGTTAAAATGGAAGCTAAACTTCTTTCAGAGCCCTCATTATATGGAATTTGCAAAAAACAAGTTTTCATACTTTTGTTTGCAAGCATTTTAAAGACGCATCATCTCTAAGCACTTTCCAACGAAACAAGAAGAAACTGTAGCCTGAAATGAATACAAAAATGAGTAACATGAAGTAATGTAGTTTTTCTAGCCTTTTGCACTTCTACGATCTTTTTTTCAAGCAAGAGTTAAATAGAGCAATATTTAGCACAACCGCTTAAATCAATGTTAAAATTATCCAAACATTGTTTATTACCTGGTTTGACTCAGAAATCATTAAATTCATTCACAAAATGTGGTTTGTTTTGCTTGCGACCACTTGTGGGTTTTACTATATTCAGTAACCAGGGCCTTAGGGCCTAATAAACCATACTAATGAGACCCTTGTTCAGTTTCCTCCATGCTGGCATAATGAACGACAGAGCCTGCCACTGGATTTGGGAAAATTGGTGCCTGCGTTGTCTCTGCTGTGAGCCTGTCAGTTTGGATTACAGGCTGACAGAGCCTGGTTTACTTGTGTTTGAGAGAGACTCAAAGGCCAGTACTCTTTCACACCTGCACAGTGCGACAGGCTTTGCCCACCAAACACTAGTCCACAGAGGAGCCCTATGGGCTGGGAAGAGGAGGGTTCAATTAAGTTTTGTTGGAAAGCTGAAGGTTATATAAACATGTTGTCATTCTTAATTAGTAAGGACCCCACCATGCTTTTTATGCGTGTTAATTAGACACGTTTAGAATTAAGTCATGCACTTTGTAGGATTGCTCCGTGAAGGAAGCAAACAAATAAATAGAAACTGATTGGCATGAAACCAAATGTTTTGCTGCGTATGAGCAGTTCTCTCATATTTTCTGTGAGTGCTTATCCAGAGAAATTAACATGTGGAGCCAGCCTGTAATTTCCATTTCTAGCCTCATCCAAGCACAGAGCTTTTGCCATTTCTAATTCATTCACCATTTAATCACAGTTTGCACAATAATATCAGCGATTTTCTGGGACAGTTGCTGAAATATTTTACAAACAAATAAGAATTAACAAGGCTGTTCTCATCACTGCCTTTTTCCCCTGAGCAACTCTAATATGCCTCTGTACCAACAAATTAAGCTGCCCAGCTGATAGGTTAATAATTTAGTAGCATGTTTAGCATTTTCTCACCCATAGAACAAACTAAATATTTGAATGTTTGGTTATAAAATACAATAACACATTTATGTTTCTAAGTAAAATTATATCATTAAAAACAGCTTCCCTTATGATCTTGATAGTAGAATGCCTACTTCATCCCAGTTTCTATCACTGTAACTTTGAACTGTGAATCTCTTACATTGTGAAAATGATTGTTACTCCAAAAAAGATTCATCTTCAGAATTCATCATTTTAAAATGCCACATCAAAGAGGGCTGATGTGTCAGCCCTTCAACAGAAGACTGTTTTCTGGTCTCGGTTAATTGAAGCCCAAATCTTGTTTATGCTGCAATAATAAAGCTTAGAGGAATGCCTTTATACAGTACATATAGTAATTGCCTCTGTGTTTGTACAAGAGGGAGATGCAATGTTTAAGTTCTTAGAATTTATACAGGAAGGAGAGTGTTGAAGGCAAGCTTGCCAGCACCATATCCATTACTTAAACCAAGATGGCTGTCATTTAGAATATTATGTGCCAGTGTGGTCACCACTGCTCTGGATTCAGTCCAGAGAGAGTGACCAGATACATTCCAGGATTTATGGGAATGTCCTACACTGACAGGCTGAAGGAACTTAACTGAAGGCTCAGTATGCTGTTGCATTATGGTTGCTAATGTTTTGGCCAGTGAGTGTTTAAAGTACTCTTGATCTACTGAAACCTGACATGACCTGACAGCGTCAAACTTTCTCACATCTTGCCTGAGGACGACTTGCTGTATATGAAGAGCTTGTGTGATAACAGAACAAGCTGTTCTGGAGGTCTACAAATTGAGAATAACTAACATTAACCTACTAATTAAAATTAAATAGAATAGGAAGCAATAGTAAAAACTAATGAAATAATGAACTCTTTTAACTTCCCCTGGTGGGACTCCTTCAGGTCAGAGCAGACTAATTACTTTCCTGTAAAAACAGAAATAACTTAGGTTTTCTCAGTAGGTTTCTTTTAGTTTTCTCCACTCTTCAGACACATTTATTATCCACAGTTAGATCCTGGGAGCTATGATGTGGAAAGCAAAATCTTATGAAAGAAGGAAAACAATTTAAGTTTATAAGACTGTGCTTGAAGTGTACCTAGTATTTGCCTGTATTTGAAGTTCTATTAAACTGGACAACAGCATTTCATTTGAGATGCTTTCATTTGCTTCATGTGATCTTTCTTGCGCTCTTGTGGGAAAATGAAAAAATGAAAGTACCAAGTCTAGTCTGTTCTAGTTTCAGTTGCTCCCCTGTGGGGAAATGTGACATATAAATTTGTGTTGTGTTGCGTATTGGGGCTGTATGTTGCTTTACACAAACTCAGAAGTGCCTTCTGAGAGGTGTTGGTTAATGGTTACTGTATAAAACCTTCGGTATAAACACACATCACTTAGGAATACTTCTGTCATATGAACCAGATCCCAGTGACCCTAAGCACATGCTACTGAGGCAGACTGTCACATGTATTTTGCAGAATAGAAGGACTCAGCATTTTGGGTTTCTCTTCAATTTATTGATCCCTTAAACACAACATTTCAACAGAAGGTGTGTTTTGTTTTTACACTGGTGTGAATATGGATGAATTTCTTATCAACCAATACACCCTCTGTCAACTAGTCAGTTGCAGTACTCAGTGGTAGGTTAATCTTGATCTTCTGTGTTGTGTGCTAGTCAATGATTAATGACTTAATTATTTACTAAATAATTGCTAAGGCAGGCTCTTACAAAGCCATGTAATGTGTTGGAATAGTTTTTTACCAGCCGTCCTTGCAGTGGGCTGGAACTAACTGGTGAGTCGCCAAACCAGACATTTCAGTGTTTCTTTATTCCCAGTGTACTATGAGTTAATTCAGAACTTGGCCTGTAAAGCAGTTGCTGATGTTGATTTATGTGTTTATTTTGATTTTATTTTATACATTTTTGTGTCCCATTTTCTAAAAGACCATGCCATATAAGTTGAATGAAGAGTTTCAATCTGATAGCAAGTTTTTTACAGCGTCTCTGACAACCTACAGTACTTAATTGGCTGAAAGTTTATAGCTATTGTTTTATTTCCTGAAACTATACATTTTCATTATATTTTCATGACAACCTAGATTGTCGAATATAAATTATGTTTATGATCACCTAAATTCAGACTGCAGTAATTGTTT